CATTCACCTATAAGCCAACAGTTTCTACTTATGTTGCTAACTTTAAGAAAGTGACTGCTATTCATACCAGAAGACTAACTCACTGCTTTTCCACTCCTGACTAAAACTCTTTGTCTCCATTTCTCAGCCCCCAAAGTGACAATGTCTGCTGTAATTTGGAGCCGTATCAAAGCACGTCGAGTACACGGAAATTCAGGAAGATCGGCGTTTGGCTCTGCACCAAGGATGGAAAATTGAGTTTGGACTCAGCTTCTGCTACCAGTCCTCACTGAAGATGTGTTCAATTACGTGCTCTCCGGAGTTTCCCAGTAGATGGGAGTACCCACAGTTGGAGTACCTCCCCCACGGTCAACTGCTGTGGGAACATATTTCAGCAGTTCCCAATATCTGTTGAAGTCAAACTTTTAAAACAGTATCATGGTGCTTTATCACTCAGCTGACTGCAGGGGCGGGATTCATCTCAGCTATCTGCAGCCATCTCCGAGGCTGTGGGAGTCGCACAGGCTCTCCGTATAGTTAGTGGGGGAAGATAGGCATCTGCAGAGAGTAATCCATCCCACCTATCTCTCTCCATTAACTAAAGAGGAGCCCAGATAAGTAGCTCAGACGAGACACATTATTTCTAAATGGCTAAAGTTAGACAAGATGAATTCCACCCTCAGTGTCCAAAATACTAGCATATGTAGTTTCTCATTACTTATTGCTGTTGCAATGTCTGTTATTCATCGCTTTAGAAACAGATTTTCTCAGTGTGATTTCCTTTTCTTTGTGCAAGACTTTCTTTATACCGTTTTTGCATCCTAACACTCAGGAACATAAATGACAAAGACGTTTCCTGCCCAGACCCAGGTTGACACCTGCAAACCAGGAGGCAAGCTAGCTGTGTGCATACCGAGTCCCTCTGAGCATGCTCAAGTAATATAGAAAAGCCACTGATGTAGGCATAAATGAGAGTGGGTTGAGGCTGCCTTCGAATTCTGGCCTTGAAAGGCCCCAAATCCCTGCTTTCTGCTTTCAGCCATTTACATTTTACTTCTTTTTAATCGTTTCAGAAGACCGGCTACAAGAGGCCGGCAGCGCTTTCGTGGACCTTTGGTGCTTGGGAACACGCGGCACGTGGCGGCTGCGCAGAAGGCCTGCCCGGGGAGCTGCCTCCCCGCGGAAAGGACAGCTGGCGCAGCCGTTCCCAGTGCCGCCCAGTTCATAATGAGCACAGCCCTCAGCCATCCCAGCAATGCGGTAATCCAGGCTCCGATTGTTTCCTTAATGGCGTGACCCACTGCTCCGCTCCCCTGCTCCCGGCTGGGGGTTTCGAGTAAAACTGGTCCTCGGCCGAGGCGTCTCAATAGCGCTGCGTCCTCCCAGCGTGGCGGTACCTCGCACCGCCGCATGCCTCGCATGCCGAAACTCCCCGCGCCCACGGTCTGGGTAACAGCGGTGGGAGAGCATGCCCACAATCAAAAGGGGCTAGTTATGAGTTTGGATACTACCGTTTAAAGATAAGCTTCTCCATGGTTACCACTCTCAGACAAGGTCACTTCCCTGCCAGACCTCCTCTCCTCCTTCCCTCTCTGGCTGTCCCTCCTTCCCCCTCCCAACTTTTTTTTTTTTTTCCCAAACGTGCTACATCAAAAGAGAAAATGAAAACATTTAAGATAATCTCAGTCTGACTATTTTAATGCAGGCTGTAGGAAAGGAAACATGTAAGCCAAGTACTCGCACTGTGCAAGCAGAAACACACTCTCGACCTCATAAAAGTAGTATCTGAGAAATAACACTTGATTAAAGCATCCAGTCCTTCACTTAAGTAGGTGCTTATGGTAGGGAAAAGATCCAAGGTTTCTCTAGAGCACTCTGCTGGCCTACCGAGCAAAGCAGGAACAGGCTAGACAGATGAATTATTGTGAGACAGCTGGGCTTCAGCCGAAGTGAGAGGAGATCCCTATTATCCCATCCACCTTTCTTACACAAATACATCTCCCCAGAGAAACTGAGTCATTAAAAGCCAGCTCGTTCACTCCTGACAGGCAATATGCATTGAGTGAGGGGTGATACATTTTCATTTTCAGCAAGAAATCTTAGTCACCCTAAGGAGTAGATTGCTCAGGAAAGTGGTAATGGAATACAGAGCCTTTCATCTTGGTGTCACCACTGCGAATACAGCCTGGCTCAGTAGCAACCCAAATGTTATTAGCTAATGGTCGTTTCAGTGACCTAGATGAGATGAGTTTGGTGGGTTTGGTCCGGTTTTCAGCAGACAATAACTAGAAGAACCACAAGTGGTGCTAAACAGAAACCATATTGGCCAGTTCACTGCAGGGAGATTAAGGACTGAACGAATTACACACCCGGGCCCATGCCATTGCTCGCCTTATGGTTCAAGGGTGAGATATGCAAGGAAAACATTGCAGTGGGCCAGTATGTTCTGCCCAGTTCCCAGTCCGCTCTCCCCAGTTTCCTAAGATTCCCACTCTAGCCTGATTTGCAAAAACAATGCACATCATTGAAAACAACAACAGAAAGACATCTTAATGACCATTTCACATGTCTTGGGAGCTCAGTAGTATCTAGTATGCACTGCTTCAAGCTGAAAATACCATCGACTTTAACTACTAAAGAGCTTTTCAAAGCCTGGGCCCAGCAATCCAGGCTTCCTGACATCTACTGAGTTTTGAGTGCATGCTTTTGCAACTGTAAAATTCCTGTTTGTAAGTAATTCCTCATTTTAATGAATATAGCTGGTGTGGGACAGCCCTACATCTCTCAGGGAAAACAAACTGCAGCTATTCCTCTCTACTTTCTTCCTGTTTAAAAGCTCCCTGCCTGAGTTACCTGCCCTGTGGAGTCCAGAATAATGCATAATTAGAAAGGCTGGCTCCTAAATGAAATGCAGCATTCACACTAAAACGAGATTGTCTTGAATCCTGATACCACCACCCCCAAAACACCCTATCAGTAATTTGTGTCACTTCTTCTGTCATAGTTCTATAGAAGACTTCCTTAATGGTTACAATCTCAAATCACAGAAGACATCTACTTAGGGGTGAGTAGCTACCTTCCATCTAATAAAGCCTACACACGTTACAGCACATCACACACAAACCTGTTCCCATCATATCACATGACTAGATAGGTATCTTCAAATAAGATATCCACCAACTGCTTAGATAAGAGATTCACTGGAAACCCATTCCCGAAAGGGAATGGACGTAGGGCGGGTGGTAAACTGCTATCACAGCCCTGAAGATACCCCCCATTGATCGCTTCCAATGTAAATTACGTAGGAAATTCTGAAGGAAGATGTCAAGAGGCAGTAAAAAGAGGAACTGCAGAGAAAGGGAAGTCAAATCAGGTGTAACTTGCACAAAGATGGTGTTTCTTTTGCCATCTGTAAGATTCAGAATTAGAGCTGGACTTTATACAGAAGTCATTGATATCCAGAACTGTCATACTCCCTTTCTTGGAGGGGATCATTAAGCCTCTTGCTTGAGGCTTTAAATCTCTTACTATCAGTAGCTGATGCATTTCCTTCTCTAACATACCTGGTACTGGTTACTGTCAAAGAAGGGCCCTCAGGCCTGACCCCATATTCCTGTATTTCTTTATCTTTTCTCCTCTCAGATATCCCTCCCCACTCTGCTCTTCCAGGCACAGTTGCTTCTGCTATTTAGGGAACAAAGGAAAGTCGATTAAAGAGATATTGGCACACCGGCAACTGGGCAATCGGCAATATCTGCGTAGTATTTACGAAAGAGCAGAGCACAGCCTGAAAGGGCTCATGCATGTCTCCACAGACTTTATAACCGTTCTGACTTGCCTTTCCCTCAGGAACTTTAGGCTGGATTGCAAAGCAAAATTAGTTGGAGTGAGAGGGGGACCCACTGAGTACAGGCGGAGCAGTGCTCCTCATCACGGTATAGAAGGCACTCAGCAGAACAGCGGCCCATGGCGTGCATCACCAGGACATGTGGGACTGCGTATTTTCATTACTACAGGACTAAACCTTAAAAAAATTGAGCAGCCTAACTCTCCACAGGAGCAGTGATGATTTAATGTAAGTTAATTTTTCAGATTAGCAGTGTTTCCCCCCTCAAAACAGTTCAAGTTCTCTGCAGCAGCTTCATTAAATGTGTGAGTGTGTGCATGTATATAAATACATATTCATTTTGAAATTTTATCCTTTCTTCTCTCCACACCATTTTTATTTTATGATGTAGGAGAGCTGTGGCTGGTACCAACAAAACTGTGCCTCATTCTGCTGAAATGTACATTTCCCAAGGCTTGCATTTTCTGCTGATAGCCAGTCCATCAATTGCAACATAAGTAGTGATTTGAGCATTGCACTTCACTGGTCTCACAGATCACACCGATGAAGTCAAAGTTATCTGCCCCAACTCATATAGCATTATCTCAATGTAACGGAAGCAAAAGAGAAGCCTGTGCTCATTACCCAAAGGATGCAATTATTACTTCCTCTCCATATTGTTGCTAGTCAAGGATAAAATCCAGGATATGACCTTTTCATTAAGCGTCAAGCCCAAATCCACCTGGGATAGCCTAAGGAGGCTACCCTCATCCTTTCACTTGGTAATTTAGAGCAAAGGCCCTTGCCACATACAGCTGAAAGGAATCCTTATGACAGATCAGTTTTAGGAAACATCTAATAAATGCTGATCAACAGATGAAACTCGAATAGCTTTTTGCCTTCTGTATGACCCCGTCACAAAAAAAGCATCACTAATTCAACACATCAACACTCTCCCAAACATAAAGCTCTATCTGCACACGGTGTAAGGTCACAAGAAAGATAATAAACTGAGAATATGAGTGATATAATGTATTACTGCAGTCAAATCTTCAATAGAAAGCTGAACTCCAAGACTAGAGAAGAATGCATAACAGTGTTGAATTCCTTATATTTTTTTGTTTTGTTACGACAATAATAATGTGCCTTTTGAAGTTCATACAGGGAGATACAACGCCAAAAGGCAAATACTTACAATACAAGAGCACTTGGTGCATTTGTTTCCTTCAGGCCGAAATTCTTCTCCTTCATTGTAATGTCTCCCTTCAAATATACAACCTGGAAAACAGAGTTGGAATAAATTTAGCTCAAGATAGCACACTGTCGTTTCACTATAACACACTTTACCATAGGACAATGGGAAAAATAAATCATACCATCCTCTCCGATACACGTCACTTCAAAAGCTTATATAAAGGCCTTAAAGACCCCCAACTAACTTTTGAGAGAAAGAAAGCATACTTCTATAGCAGATAAATATGTACCAATGAAGTCAAGGCTAAGTCAGGTCTTCCATTAGAAGTGATTTTGAAACATTTTTCTAAGCTGTTTGATTTTTCTTACTAGTTCTTATGCTCTGAGATGTGGGCAGATAACAAATTAAATATAATAAACCAATTATATCCCAACAGGAGCAGTGCTTAGTTACAAAACCTATGTTAAAAACAAATTCACCAATAAAACTAGGTTAATTTGCCACAGTGCTTCACAAAGGCAACCCACTCCCATTCTCCTTCAGAAAACAAATCTCCTCCTCCGTTAGGATTACCCTCATCCTTCCATTCCCAACAAAATCCCAGTCATCAGCCAGGCAAGCCTAGCTGACAGATGCTCTGAAAAACAATGTAAACATCATACTTTTAAAAAAAAATAGGCCACTGCCATCCATAGCCAATTGCTTCAAATGTTCCCCTGTGCATCCCCTACTGTGTATATCCTCTACTAAAAAAATTTGCGCTCGCTCTTCTTATGGCATTCAGTGCATTGTGTGCCACTGGCCCATATTTCAATAACTTGGCAAGTATAATGGAGGAATCAGACATAACCTCTCAGGAAATAATGGTTATCATTAGAAATACTATTGACAAAGAGCAGCATCCTCCCATGAAGTCTTACCTGGACACACAGGGCAACACATTCCTATGAGCTTGGAAGGGTTTTTGCAATGGACAACACACTGTACCTCCGACTCTATTATCACTCCCTCCTGAGAAAGAGCAGATCAGACATGTTTGTTATTGTTGTGGTTGCTTTCAGAAGTGAAAAAAACCACAATTACTAGAGGTACAATTATAGCACGACACATGCTGTGGAGCACTGGGTTTCAAAGCCTCCTTTCTTTCAGTATCTGCTGCCTGGTATCAGGATTCCACGGTTAATCCACAGTCAAAAGATCCACTTGAGTCTCCTTGACTCCAGACATAGGATTTGCCTTAAAATGCATCAGGTAAGAAACCAAGCACCTTCTTAGGAAAAGGAATCCTGCTTTATCAGGAATGCTTAGCCTTAGTAATCTGCTATGCAGCTTTGGGGGAAACGGACCAGACACAAAGCAATCTCTTCCCTCTCCCCTTGGAGGAAAAAGACTTGGAAAGCAGATAAAAACATCTTGCTCTGTATAGGGGAGCCTCTTATCTTTGATGCTGCTCCTGATAAGTATTAGCAGATTAACATTTCCTGTACTTCTTGTTCAAGAAGCCAAAGTCCTCCTGAACAAATCTGAATGTGAGGATCTGTGCACAAAAGGTTGTTATTCTTTTGCTGCTTGCACCTTTGCATTTGGAGGCAGGGAAAAGCTGCTTGTTAAACGTGTGCATCTAGAGTAAACAGGCTTACCCAGGTTTGCATCTAGACACTGAAACAGACAATAAAGAAATGCTAATTTTAGGTAGCTAGTGGTGATCAGAGTATCTAAATTAAAGCTTATATTTCCGTTATGTACAAGGATACAGAGCACTGCTGCTGCAACTTAATTCTCAGTATACTTGTCTTTAAAAATGTGGGTGCATTTCATAGAGCAGAAATATCACAGAAAAAGAAAAACATCTCAGAACCCTTCTCTCCTAATGCCTGATTGCATCAGGCATTAATACTGGATCAAATTACCTGCAGAAATTGCAGATTGATCTATTCAGAGACAGAAACCAAAATTGCTTACATTGTCAGTTGGTTTGTGCCTGTAAACGGACAATCTTGCAAATGGTAGGGTTGCAGATAGGCAGACTACCAAAAATTCTGAGAAAATGCTGAGAAAAGCAGAATTATTTCCAAGGTCAATGTAGCAGGAAATGACTCTACTCTGTACCACTCCTTCACAAATGTTTGGGTATCGCAGTACTCAAGACACATAAAACCTGTCTTTCTGAATGTTTGGTGATAGCCAGCCACATCTGAATGGGTTTAAGTTACTTCAAATGCAAAGCTCCTATGTGCCTTAGACATAAAATATTTAAGGTTATTTGGATTGGGCAAAAAATGCTCAGAATTTCATGGGAAAAGCTCATGATTCAATTCCTGCGGTGCTTATGACATCCTTACCTGGCACTGATATGTAATACAGGGATTGGTCGGGAAGTGCCATTTCATCGAGCTGTTGTATGTAATTCCCCCAAAACTGCAATCTAGAGAGAGAGAGAGAGAGAGGCAGAAGCAAGTCAGTCTGCTGCTGGGGAGGCTCGCAGAACAGCATCACACAAACATGAAACATTTGGGTGATTAGCTTTATTTTATCCTTCTTTGTGTGTTATGTGACAACTTTGTTACCAGAAAATAGGAAAGGCTGGTGCACCAATGCACGCGATCGGTACTACAGCTGAAATATATTCCTCAAATACTGACTTTTTTCCTTTGTTAAATGAAGCTTCATCAAAGTCTTTTGGGGAAAAAAAAAGTGATTTCACATTTTTATAACCTGTTCCTACAAGTTTCCTTCCCACTTTTTCACTGTTTTTTTTTCTAATATTTTGCAAAAAGGAGAGGCAAAAGGGAACACAAAGAAAAGACTAAAATATCTCACTAGAAAAGCAAAAACCGAAAAGATATAGTAAGTGAAAATAACATATTTGTTTAGAAAGAGATTGTTTATTAATGCAAAACTGTTTCAATTAAAACTAAAAGTTAATTCTTTGAAAAGCCAAAATGTTTCTGCCAAAAATTTTAAAAGCGATATGTTCTGCAGGAAAAAATGTCCATTTTCCATTTACCGTTTTCTGAGGATTTCTTCCTAGTCTATTTTATTCAAAATGGGCTTGATCCAAGAGCCCATGAAATCAGCAGGAGTCCTGCCAGAGACTTTGAATGACAGAGACATCCACATGCAGTCACATAGCACAAAACTGTAAAATCAAGCAAATAATGCCTCAGAGCCATTCCCTTTCCAAACCTTACCTTAGCAGCTACTCTAACAGTCATTCTCTGGTGTTCAGGGGGCACTGTCCTGAATTGCTTTTGGATACCTTTTGCACCCTTTGGAAAATAAGGCTTGCTTTTTTAAGTTTATATATTGCAAGTTGTAAGTCCCGCACCAGTAAAACTTCAAGCCCAATAGAAAAGAAATCTTTAAGGTCATAGCTCTGAGTTGCTGAGGAACTTCAAATACCAACAAAATAATTTTGTATTCAATCCCAAATTTAAAGGAAACCTAATGTGTGAAGATGATTTACAAGTTTGTTAACTGCCTTCAGTTAAGATCTTAAAAAACTCAAGACTTTGACTTCAGTATTTGCAGTATTCAGAAAGTTTTCCAGACTAAGTACAGAGCAATAGTAATACAAGAGATTCGTGCAAATGCTTAGGCACTTTCACTTAGCTAAGACGAAATAGGTATGTTTTAAAAATAGTTGATCACTAGCGTAAGAGCTGGCTATGATAATTTATTCTCTGACAAAGAGTCAAAGATACAAGGTATACATCTGAATCTCACTTTTTTGAAGTGATGGGGTGATTTTGAACAATAAAAAAGTGTTTCAATTCTCACTACGTTAATAAAATTCTGTATGAGCTCTTATACACACAGGCTGACGTTTCCAAAGAGGAACCTAAAGTCCTAGATTCCTCTTAAGCCTTTTCAAGTCGCATTCTGAAAAATACCGAGGTAATTTTGCAGTATAGTCTCACTTACTGCATACTGCAAACCCTGAAAGATAGCAGTCTGTTCAAAGAGTTTCTGCTTGCTCAAGTTGCAGAAATCAGGTCAAATGGAGGTTCTGGTCCTAGTCTGAGAATGATGTTAAGCATCTGCTTAACTTTTAAGCACTCAAAATGGAACAATCTGTGTTGTTAAATACACGTGCATGTGTTTTATTGGAGAGGTTTGGTCTTCAGCACCTTGCAGAATCAAGGCCCTGGCATGAAGGCAGTGCATCCGTGCAGTCACCTCACTCTCACTTGAAGTATGTATCCAAGCTGTGCTATGAAATCCTCATGCCCATAGCGCTGTCCACTGTCTCCGTGATAAGTAGCAGGGGGGTAGTTGATTTCTACCTGCCCACAAACCACTTCTTTTACTGATACATGGTGCTGTCAGGACTGGGGGACAGCGCAATAGAAGAAACTACGGCAGGGAGACATTGTGGACAACAAAAGTGCAATTTATAGAAACCAGGATGAGAAAGTCTGCAGAAGAGTTCAAGATAAAACTACCACTCCAGAGCTTTGGCACACGTCAATAGGTAGGCTAAGGGAACAGGAGCAGCATCATGCAAGCACCAAGCAAGGCGTGATGGAGCTGAATGTTAGCAGATGCTCAGCTGAGGAGAATGGTACAGAGGAAGGGAGGAGTTAGCCAATAACATAGACAGGCTTGACCAGAGCTGGGGGGAGACTGAATGTCTGACAGATTGAAAAAAAGGCCAAAAAGTAAGTGCTTTACAGTCTCTGGGTGAGATTTTAACCTGTCCTTGACCAAAGGTGTGCCCTGCCACTCTGCCCTTTGTACACCCCAAAGCTACACCAACAACTCATTCTTCAAAATGAAGAGAAAACAATCAGCTAGTCTTTCTGAACCTCACTTTCAAAGCACAGAGCTCTCAGCTAACACATGCAAACATAGACCTGGACTTTCCTAACCCACCTAATCATAGTATGGAAGTTCATGGGCCTCACCTAAATCAAGCTGAGAGAAACCCTCGTGCTTCAATGTGCTTACTCAGTCAAGCTTTTCTAAGTAGCCCATGATTAAAGGTCTACCATGCTTGGCTTGTAAAGCAGCGGTCACTGAATATCTCATGTCCACCACCAAAGACCCTGGTGCCTGTTTCTACAATGGACTACCTCCGAATATACTTCATGTTCCTAAAGGACATTTTAATTCCTTTTGGAAATATTACTACATCAACTTACTGTCTCCATCCACCATTTGAAAGGGGCAGCAGGGGAAAATAATAAATCAAGAAAGATCAGAGCTTAGCACAATCACTTAAGTACATAAATGCCAAGCACTTATTTCTGCCTGAATACATACTTAAAGTATAAAGGGAAGGGCTACAGGGGTGGTTATCAAGAGGGAAACCCCCAAATAGTGTTCTAAGGAGTTCATGAAAGGTAACAGAAAGGAGTCAGCCTAACATTGGTAAGCAAATTTGACCCCAAAAATCTTCAGGATCATGAAAATCTTCAGGCTTGCACATACGGAAAGAGGTTAAATATCACTGGTCTATATTAGTTTTAATAGAACTAGCTTGATTCATATCAGCCAAGGAGTGTGTCCTAATTTTTTAATCCTTCCTGCCTCTGTCTTTAAGAACAGCTGGTGATTTATTAATGTAAAATATTAACTTTCAGTTAGTTGTAGGTTTTGTTCCTATAATCTACCTCAACCCAAATAGTTCAGATAAGTCCTGGATAAACATGCAAGCTTAAAGTCACTTATCTGAATCAAACCAAACCACCGAATACTTTGAAGTTGGTCAGTTATTGTATATACAGTGGAAACTGCTTGTTACCTTCTAGCCACCTCATAAAGGCAAAATGATCCTCTAGACTTAAGTCATCCCTGCACAATAGATGAAAATAATATTGTTATATCACTTCTAATTTACTAATTTAGCTATTTTAATTCAATGCTGTGCATGCCTTATTTCAGCACCCTAGTTTCAAACAGCATAAACCAACTTTTAGCTGATTTAATTTGAAAGAGAGCAATCTAATTCCAAAATAAGCATCCTCACACAGACTTGGACTGAAATAACAAAAGAGGCAAATTATATCAGATTTAGTTATTGGCATGTGGGCAAGCTGACAATCAGGAAGTCATTTGTCATTCCAAATCCAGTAACGTTTTTAAATGAACCTTTTTTTCCCCAGACACCCCAGCACAGAGCAATATCATGAAAAGAGGGAAATTGACTGGAAAAGACAGTTTAATAGTGCTAAAGCTCAACCAGTGTCCTGAGGAGTTCATTCAAAACAAGCCATTATTACTCAACTTGACATTGCCTAATAAGATTCCAGAAGACATTTTTGCTTATTTTAGGCTAATGAGAATTTTATAGACAAGCCATTTCCGTATTCTCCCAAGAGAAAGTAATAGCTTGGCTCACAACAGACTGGCTCCCCATCCCTCATTTCTTCAGCATCTTTCTTCTCCTATTTGTCTTTCCCTTCCTTTCCCTCCACTTTCTATTTAAAAAGGAACCTCTCTATTGGCATGGAAAATAAACATCGGGAAAAAGAAAACAGTCGTAAGACATGTTTTATGTAGTATTTGATAAATTAATCCTCAGGGAGGAATCCAGGCATGTTAACACTACATAACAGTTCTAGCCAAAAAAAAAAAAACAAAAACCAAACAAAAACCAAACAAACCAAACAAACCCAACAACTTGCACATTCTGCAGTATTTCCCTGATATTAAATCTGTTGGCCAAAATAAGAGAACTGTAAATCGCTCATACACCTATTATTACATATATTTCCACATGTCTTAGCAAAGGTGGAGTCATTGACAATTAGTGCTAAACTACAATTCCATAGATGCCATTCTACTTTTGTGTAAGTTTCATATCAGGTAACCCTGGTCTTCATTTGTCAACAGAGAAGCATCAAAATACATACAGAATCCCCCATGCTAATTAAGGTCAGCTCTAGAAGGGTGAAAATCCCTGAAAATCTGTAGCTAAGTGCAATCAAACCTATTTGCAGCTGAGCCACTGCAATTCTACCACCCAAGGGATGTGAGGTGCAGGGGCCGTGTAACGGGTGAACAACACATTAAAGTACAATGGCCTTGGGAGTGGGCTACGCCTGGACTGCAGAATTCGCTGGCATATGATGTATGAGGTATTCAGCTCATGTTCATTGAGCAAACAGCAGCAGAGCTCAAGACGTTACCCCCTCCCAGTGGTTCACATTGCCCTGTGCAACCCCGAAACTGAATTTCACCTTCCCAAATAGCTTGTGCTCCACTTGATATATACATATATATATTCACATATATATATATACACACATACATATGTATATACACACACATATATATAATATTTTGTATATATAATTTTTATATATAAAATATTTTTATATATAAGTCATCCTACCAGATTCATAAGAACCTTGCAATGCAAAAATATATGTAGCTAGAGTCGCTATTAATTCCTGATCTGATACCCTGTGTGCTTGCCAA